GAAAAACTCAATATTAGAGTACATGTTCACTTCTAAAATGCCTTGTCCACAAAACACTGAAAAATGTACCAAATCACAGCACAAACACACACACACATGTGTTACATACTTGCACGTGTTGGTGAAGACAATGACAGAATAGCCCTCATGTTCCTCCTGCAGTTTCTGGATGATGTGGACCAGGTAGCCATCCTTCACATAGGGGGGCATCAGGACGTAATGCTGCGTCAGTGTCTCCACTGTGGCCACTCTAGGAAGGCATACAGAAGGAGTTACATGTATAACCAACAATATTATAGCCACAAGCTATTCAAGTGTGCCTTCATCTCCTTCATCACACTTGCTACCTGTCTTTCTGTAGGAATTTGGTAGGGGGCACTGCAGCACCTCAGTGCAAGTAAAACTTCCAATAAACTTTTCCCACTAAGTAGTTCATACTGCACATACTTTTTTGTATTCATACTCCAATCCTAATGTTGACAAATGTAGTAACAGAGGATGCTAGATTACTACTGATGTGCTTTTAGGATATCCTAATATAACCTAATCAGCTTCTAGTAATCCGATGCATATTGGGCTAGGCAGTATATAAGATGATGAACCTACTTAAAAGTAAAAGAGCAAAAACTTGATCAAAAAAGGTTCATCAAAACAAATTCTAGATACTAGTACTTAACTTTCATATATCAGAAAATGGACTTTCTGAGAACACACTTCATTTTGTGCAGTGGCCAAAGTTTCTACATTGTTGTACTTGACAACATACTAGCATTCAAAACTTTACAGCTCCTTGACTCCATGTTGACATACTGGTAGTCACCTACAGCCTGTTGGCATAGTATCGTAAAAGTCACAATATACTAGTAGTGCACTGATCAAAGATAAGGTTTTGAAAACGTTTTATAGGGTTGAGTTTATGAAATACATGTACCATAAATAGACACAATATCACTTTGACTCAAACGATGTGTTGTGATTGATAGCAAAAAATGCTAGATATCACCTATGAGCTTTCTTTATCTTTATTTATCTGATAAATAGATATACCTATGAGCTTTCTTGAAGTCAGCTGCACTACAGGGTTGGACAAGTCCCATTGCCCACTTGCCCAGGGCAAGTAAAAATACTGTTCGGGCAAGTGAATATCCCCCTGTACTTGCCCGATTGGGCAAGTAAATTTTTTGGATGCAAAGTATAGCTGCTATGGTGTTTGGATCAAAATTACTCATCATTTTGCCAAATTGATATTATATGTCCTTCAAACCACATTATTTTGATAAATAAAGTATGCAGGATGATAAACTCTAAAATATAAGAAAATAAGATGCTGGTAGTAAAAATGCAAAAATGTCATGTATATTTTGGGCAAGTGAAAAGTTGGTTCGGGCAAGTGGAAATGACCATGTACTTGCCCGATAGGGCAAGAGGATTTTTGAAAACATGTCCAACCCTGCACTACCTAGTGTTCTTGTGACAACACAATCCTCACAAGTGTGCCATACTATCAACTACTATCAGCATTCAACCAAAGCAAGGTCACAACCTGGCTTGTTCAGATTGATCGAGTTATTAATAAATCAATCCAACAATTTATAACAAAGAAAGGAAAGTAAGAGAGGCCAAAACCCAGAGAGAAACGACCCCACATTATCTGCCTTGCCAGGTTATTCCAGCATAGCCCCCGGATAGATCGAAAACCTGCTGGAGCGAGAAGTGTCGATTCATCATTTTCACAAATCATCTGATCAGCTCGCAATGAGAATATAAAGTGCAGATTAGCCCAACTTGGTGGGGGCCTCAGAAATTGCTCATTGATTGGTCCAGGCAATTGAACTGCAGACCCAAGGTCAAACAGCAGCCGGGGATAAATCTATCAAGCCAATAACGTGGTGTGATGAGAGGGATAGCTTCTCCCATGAAGCAGGGAAGATGGACGAGAGGAGTGGGCCATATAACGGTCTTCCTCAATATCCTCCAGACCAGGCACGCTCTATATATCAATTAGAGATGGGATCAATCTGAGAGACTATTAAAATTTATTGGGGTGGGAAGGGGCAATCCCCCGCCAGTTGCCCTCTGTGCCCTGCTCAAGCATGCGGGGCAAGTACGGTGATCCCTCCCCAGCTACCCACTCTATCATTATCGACACAGCCCAGCGCCTCCCATCCCCACAGCAATTTTGATGGACTGCCAAGTTGGCCTCCACACCTCAGTTAATGGCCCATTTTGGCACTTCATTCATCCCCCAATCAATGAACCGATGGCCCAGGGCGCGACCTCTAACCTCCGCGACCTTTCGATTGCCATGTACGATGCGCTCCATTTTGCACGCTGTCGGTGACATCTGCCCGCGGTTGTGTATGGGTTAATATTCCCCCTAATTTGACATGATTGTTCTTGTCATATCACTTCAAGGGTCACGTCCCCTGAAATACGTTATCTCCCTCATACTGCCCACCTCGCACTTCCGTGCATACCGTCGGCTACATCTCGCGGTAACAGTCGCATAAAACTCCGTACCTGCATCCATCAATGTACAATATTCTGTGTGTGTTGATCAATTCTGACAGCTGATTTAGCCTGCCCATTTGTAGTTGCCTTTTTGCCTGTCTTTGTTGGTTTATAAATCTTTCTTTATCGGCAGTCACGTTTACTGTCCACACTCCCTCCAAATGCCTCTCTGCATATGACCAGACTGTAAGGTTTGCTCCAATCACACCGCAGGATGGACGCCTACTCTTTTAAACAAGTTCAGTGGGATCTTTGACATGCTCAAGGTTTGGCACTTTTTCATGGTCCCTTGGATAGTTTTTCTCATTGACATAAGAATCCCGTCTATAGCGACCACCACATAGACCAGATTTTATTGGTCCCCTGAGCAGTCTTCTTGGGTACATATGTGTAGTTGTAACTGTAATAACTTACTGTAAGTCCAGTTATGTTCACGAATGCTTTATTTCACGAGATGGAGCAATTTGGGAGTTCACGAGATCTATGACTTCGCGAGTCGGTAATTTTTAACAAGGTGTTACATGTCTGCAAATTTACCGACAGTCAATAATTTTATTTTTTGCGTGAGATACGTGCGAGGTACGCGCGGTTAGAACATGGTTCCGTGGACATGACACTGTCCAAACTGAAGCCCATCCATGCGAACTGGGTCCTGGGTGCACTGGACATCGCCAGGGGATGGGACCGCACAGAGATCTGAGCCGCTGTGAGCCGACGGGCGCGTGTGTAAAAACAAAAGCCGCAGACTCGCAAATGTTGCCAACTTCTGCACAGTAGTCCTCGCGTAAATCATCTTAAGTTGTGAAATTTTAGCGCACTGTTCTATAAATTTGCTGTTTGGGAACGTTTAAAACCATGTTGATTCAACAAGTTGTAAAAAAAATAAATAAAAAAATCAAGCAAACTTAGACCATTAGACAACGCGCTATGTAAACAAAGGCCGCCATGTTGGATTTCTTGTGATTTGTCGATCGGCTCGGCGGTTACTCGGCGGTAGATTTTCGTGCAATTCTTCCCTATAAATACCTGTTAATGTTGTATATGTTGCGTAAATTTTCTTGGGATGTATGGAAATCCTGTGAAATGATTTTTTTTGCGTGTAGCTTTGGTGAGTAACGTTGAACTCGTGTAGTTTGATCTCTCGAGGTATAGACAAAGACCCACGCTATCCCGCTTGGTTCTATTTTTTTTGCCGATTTTCCATACCGTAAATAATTCTGCTTTACGTGGCTTGTACACGACAACAACTTTTTACCGATGTATGTTGTAAAATTCCGTATGTACGATGTTGCACATGTTTACAGCTGTTCATCGCTACGTTATCGCCGAACTAGCGTTCTTGTTAAAACTGATGTTGTCTAGTCGGCTTTGTAAACTTTTACCGTTCTTCGCAAGAAACACTTGTAACTTGTTATTACTAGTTACAAAATAATGACTCCGTGAACCATATGCTCATTGAATAAAGTTTATTTGATTCTGAAAAGAAGTCTGCTGTTATTCGTTGAGTCTTGTCATTTACTAGTACTACGTAATGTAGAGTTGAGACGCACGATGTTTGGGGGAGGGGGGTGGTACGTACGGAATGGGTTCGCGAGGAGGTGAGTTCACGAGAAGAACGTCTTCGTGAAAACCGTGAACTTAAAGATTTCGTAATCAAAAATGGACTTACAGTACTCACTGCACATTTCTGTAATCTGATGCCCTTGGCCTGGCCCAATCCTCCCCGTATAAGGTCCCCTAAATCCATTTCCGACCTGCATGTAATGGACAAGATTGCCTATTTTCTGATAGCTGGGGTATGGAACAGATGCTGCCAGGTCCATTTCACTCTCAGTCTCTGAACACAACTGATGATTATCTTCTTTGCACACGATTATCCCATCAATCCAACAGTACAGCTATCTGAAACATATGGGTCTACTCTTAGCTCTGAAGGGTTCCCAGAGAGACATGCTTTGGTTTGTAAAAAGAGGTTTGTCTGTAACATCTGCCTGCACAATACACAATTTGTGTAATACAGGGCCTCACTGAAAAGCAGTGTCATCACAGAGCAGGGAACCCTAATGATGATGGAAAATAAAATACAATAAATGAACATATATAGGCAACTGACATAAATAGGCAACTGT